ATCATACTTTTAATAAAATAATAATTTTAAAAGAAACTTTTTTTTTAAAAAAATATAATTCGAAAATACCTTGAGGTTACACATGGCCAAACTCTTTAATCGATTTTTACATTTTCTCAATGATGATATATCGTCTACACTCGTATTTGAAATATCTAAAGCTTCTAACTGTGGTAAATCTTCACAAACGATTCCCAAGCCGTGAGTGTTAAATTCAGTACAACTAACATTTAAATATTGAAGACAATGTAATTTGGAAAGAGCTACCACAACACAATATCTATAAAATATAAATATGATAAAATTTCTATTAATTGATAATTTGATTCAAAAAAAAATTATAATAAATAAACTTACATTGTGCTGTCCAATTCTAAAAATGAGCACCCGGATACATTTAAACATTTTAAATTTTGTAAAGTTCGATCTCCTAAACATAATATAAGATCATTAACTGTTACTTTTAATCCTGTCGCTTTTAAAGAACTTATACTGTGACCTTTTAATATTCTAAGACCTTTTCTTGTTAAAAAATTTGCATTTTGTAATATTACATATCTAAAATTAAAAGAAAAAAACAAAAAACAATTAGAAATAATAGCGACCAAATAAAAATGTAGCAAATTTAATAAAAATAATAAGTATAAATAATTACTTTAGCCTTGTATATTTAGAATCGAATAATGTAATATTTAAATCTGTAAGTTTTCCCTTATCACATAAAGCTGTTAAAAGCTGTTCCGACAATTCAGAATGTAGATAAACATCTTCATTTTTAAAAACTAATTTTGAAGTAAGTCCTGTGATTCCATCACAATATTGTACAGATCTGCATAAATTTTCTATATTATTAGCAATACAATTAATACAAATATCTTGTAAACTTTCCGGAGACTCAAACATTCTTCAATCTAAAAAGAAACAAAAAAAATATATATATATATATAATTAAACGATTTAACATTGATGAGGGAGAGGGAGGGGGGGGAAACCAATCAATTATTATTAAAAATCATTATATATAAAATAATAAAACATTCATTTACATCAAAAACAAATATGTATTTAATAATTTAATTAATTAATTAATTAATTAATTAAATGAAAAACAATATTTTAAATAAAACACATACACACACAAACACAATATAAATAAATAAATAAAATAAATTACATTAATTTGTTAATTATTATTAAAATATAATTAAAAAAAACATTTCGTAACGATTAATATATATTTAATAATTTATGTTAAAGAAAAAAAAAAAGAGAAAAATTTTTTTTTTTTTTTTTAAATTTTATTAAGTAATATGACATGAATCAATAATGACCTTGAAATTCACAACTGCTAATGAATGTTCAGCACCAAAAAAAAATTGTTCAATTTAACAAAAAAAAAAAAAAAATCCAGAGAGAGAGAGAGAAATAAATAAATAAATAATTTCTTTTAATTTAAAATATATTAATAATAATAATAATAATTTTCTTTTTAACAAATCCAAACATTTTACAAATAATAATAATAATAATAATAATAATAAAACAAAAAATTTAATTTTTTTTAATGGAAACGTTAATTTAGAAGTGCTAATGTTTTTAAATAAAAATAAAAAACCTCCCACCTTAAATATTAAAATAAATACTGTTCGCTCATGTTTAACTT